ACTTAGCAATTTTGGTATCCCAAATGCATCTTCTCATTAGTTTTTAGAAGTTTTTAAAAAGTGAATACATTATCACTCAACTAACCAAATAAATTATACCCCTCATTTGTTAAATAGTCAATTAGTCTTTTTCCAAACAAATACCACTTTCCAAACTACTCTTGAAAGCCGTGTATTTTCACATGGACTCTCTTTTGGGGGGGGGGGGTGATATATTTTAGTTATATCTAGTGCAATTTATACTCACAAAACTTGCTCGTCTAATGGTCTAACATATGTATTTGTTCTTGGATGTATAGATACGTGAATACCATAGACGGAATCTTGGTGCACGTGTTGTTGACACCAGTGATGAGTATGAACAACTTCTCAAGCATGAACAACCGATTACGTTTAGTGGGGAAGTGAGTGCTTTTACAATACTTGCAATTATTTGTGCATGCATATGCATTTGGATGACTTGTGGCAGCACTTCAGTGCCCAAATCCTTTAGAGAGTAATAATTTGCTATACCATTATAGATTTTATAGTAGGATTTGTTGTTCACAAAAAGAAATAATGATTTAGAACAAGATAGGATTGTGAAGGATCTATACAGAAAAGCTTCTATAAGAGATTCCTGTTATGGATTTATTACCAAAATTTGCAGTAAAAATGTAGGAGCAGCTGACACTGTTTAGGGAGTAAAGTTTTCAAATTGGAAAAAGCATTTAGTCAGATTGAACCTATGCCAATTCTGAGATTTTTGTTTGCAGTTGTAGTTAAGTTTTTAGCTTTCCCTATGCAAGCTCCATAGTCCAAAGAGAGGGACCGATTCATAGATGTATGTATGCATGCATGCATGCATGCATGCATGCATGTATGCATGTATGGATGCATAGCCGCCTAGCCGAGCACTTTTGTTTTTTTACTCCAGTGCTTTATTTTTTTAAGTGTTTTATACCCCCTGCTCTAGTGCTTTGTTTTTTAATGCTTTATAAATTAGTTTATTTGCAAGTTAATGTTTTTTTCTACTTTATCTTCCTAATTAATACTCGGTGCTTAATTTTTTAAATTTTAAATGATTAATTTACCAACTTAAGTCGGTAACACCTTTTTTCAACTTTTTTTTGAGGAAAGTATTTAAAAGTAACTTTGGTAGTTAAACTTTGATGTACTAGAAATAATTAAACTTTACCAGCTACAATATATAATTTGATATATTTATATTAGTGTTTTTAATGTATAGCAATTCTCCTATATTATGGGTCGCCTAATTGTCGCCTAGGCGGTCGCCTAGTCGACTAGGCGTCCTGGCGGTATCCCGGCGCCGCGCCTCGACTTGGCGCCGTTATAACTATGCCTAATAGTGATATGTACGAGGAACCACATCAATCCTTCAATACAGCAATATATTAGTTCCAACTCGGCGGGCCATTAGGTCATTAACCCACTCTTGCTCGTGAGACATTCCAATTGAATGTGTCAGCATTGATGTTGACACTTGTCATCTTGACTCACTGTTTCTAAGGTGTGCCATCCAATTCAAAAACATTTGCGGCATTTAATAGCCCTGGCAGCAATATGATCCTGAGTGATTTTAGAAAATCCATATGAATTTAAACTGACAGTGTCTCCCACTGTGATTATACCCTTTCTGGTGTCGTGCTTGGTTCTGGTTTTGATTTACTGTCAAGGTGGCAACGGCATCTCAAATTCATTAACAGTAGCCAATAGAGTCTGAATTGGATGGAAGTCCTGTCTACCGGGTCCTGGAGGTCTTGTTTCTTGTTCTCATCCGTTCCTCTGAATCAGTCATGGCCGCCGCCATAATGGTTCATGGTTGGCCGAGGAAATAGTGTTCTGATACCACTTGTAATAATTCACAGAAATATGAAAGGTAGAAGCAGGTGAGAAGAGAACAGAACCAAGAAGGGCTTATAAGACAGAAACTAATGCAATGAAATAAAATACGAAATAATTCATATAATAGTTAACTAAATTGTCTTCAGCCCTCTATGTAGAGCAACTGATAAGTGGAACAAGTAACACATAGATGGTCACAGCTAACAAATAGAAAACAAAAACTTGGAAAGCAAGTAATCCGAAACAAAGGGATTAAAACCAATACGGAGTAGGAAACTTAGGGATTTAGAGATTTTCTTATTACATCACAGCTAACAGGGATTCTGATGTAGGAAGGGCATGGGAGATACCTTGATTTGCACGTGCTGCATGGTGAATATATCAACTTAAAATTTGGTGAGCCAATTGAATATACTGCTTATCTTGAGGTCTTCTCCAAACCACAATTAATTCCACGCAAACAGAAGTCAACAAGGTAAAATCTACTCTCTTCCTCTCTCTCTCTCTCTGTGTGTTCTTCAATGAATGTGTTGGAGGTTAGACTCTTTGGCTTTCCGAGCCCAATTTATTAGGTCATAGACAGCAGGGCTTAGAAGGTCTCCTGGACTTCATGGCCTTCGCTCATGTAACCATCATGATAGCAAGGAAATCATCACTTATTTTAGAAGGAAAAACATAGGATTTTGAGGAATATAATGCACATGATGAATGTGTTCCTGGTCAATTGTTGCCTAATGGAATATTCTAAGAGTCAATATCCGTGACTTTAGATGCTACTTGTTTTTTACTGTTTTCCTATTGCTCGTCTTTTATCTTTCTTACCTATATACTTCCTCCATCCCAAAATGAAGTTTCCACTGAAGTTATTTTTTATTCAATTTATTTGAAAATTGGTGTGGATCTCAAAAGTAAAATTCATATATTTAAATCCTACAATAGAAGGTTACATGACTATATTATTTTATCAAATGAGTAACAAAAATATAGAAAGAAAGTGAATAGTGAAAGGCAACTTCATATTGGGACGAAGGGAGTATAATATATCCTACTCTACATGGCAGGCATTCAGTATTAAGTTACACTTGTGAGCGGAGCCTTGGCCTCACCAAAGGAACTGTTATCCTTCCACTCAAATAAACTAGTGTTTTCATTATATTCTGTATTCCATTTTATAAGCTACTCTATCATTTGGCATCAGAGCCTTTTCTAGTCCAACATACTCAGCACTAAAACTACATTACAAAATGATCAACCCAATACTTCCCTTTCATGTCACCCAGACCCATCTCCAAATGGACTGACCCAACAACTATTCACCATCGTTTCTCGACTTGAAATCTTGATACTCTTTCTGCTGAAGTAGCTGTGCTTAAGGTCCAATCCAGCCTTCTCCAGCAAGCTGAAAATTGCCTAGAAGGGTCGAACCAGCACTAGCTATAGAACACACATTTTGCTCAGCGGAATAGGTGGTAAACGTACACTTTGTTGGCTTGTTATGTTTGTTGATGTGCTACCTTTAAATATAATTTTGTTATGCTAATGATATTTCATGTTATAAATTTATATATGGTTGTCTTTGGTGAATGGTAATATATTTAATTTTAAAATTTTTATTACTTATATGATTTGTGGACTAGTCTATGAGTCTATGACTAATAGGCCGACTAGTCCACAAGTCTCCTCTTTACTGACTCGACTCGACCTGCTGCCGTGATAGCCATGACATTGATTACAATAAAGTTCGAGCAGTTATGAAGTGTCCCAAACCCGGTGACGTTAAAGATCTGTGTGGTTTGCCAGGTTATTATTGTTGCTTTATAAAAAATTATGGACTCATTACAAGGCCGTTGACTAAGAAAAATGGATTTTGCTGGAATGCAACAAGCTGAATCAGCATTTCAGCAGTTGAACGCTGCCTTGACTTCATAACCAATTTTAAAATTGCCCGATTTCAATCAACACTTAAGTGGAAAACCACAGTACCACACATCTTCAGCACGAGTCGGAGCCATCCTTCTACAATCCTTGAATCCAGTCTCATATTTTAGTAAGGGTTTCTCTCCTTATCAATGTTCGGAATAGCATGGCGTAACCCTTCATATGGCTTGCCTCATGGCAGTTTCCAAAAAATTATGCCATATGGCGATCTAGCAATTACGCAACAAGGGTTTTGGAGATATTGCGCAAATATGGCGGGCAATGGCGAAAGCTTTTTGAGGTGTACGCCATGAGGTGTACGCATTTTTTCTCCCCAAAAAATTAAGAATTGGGTTAAATACGTAATTTACTTAAAAATTCTATAAAGTTAAATTACATAATGAGTAAATTCCCAAAATGGTAGTCAATAACTATGTGTTTTCCCAAATTAGTCTTCAAAATTAACTAATTTCCAAGATGGTACTCGTTAATTGAAAATAATGCTCAGTTCAGTCCCCTAACTAACGGCCGTTAAGACAGCATTAAAGCGACGTAAAACATTATACTACTTTCTCAAAATGGTACTTCTTAACTTAGTGTTTTCTCAAATTGGTCTATTTTTGAAATAAAAATACATTAATTATAAAAAAAATATTTTAAATTCTATAGGATGACAATATACAGAGTAATATTTAAAACTACAAATATAATTTTATAAAATTTAAAATATTTTCAATTATTTAGAAGAATAACATGTAAATAAAATGTTTAATAATCGTTAATGAAATTACCCTAAATAGGAGTAAAACATAAATGAAGTACCAAAATAGGAACTTTTTCTCTATGTTTTACTTCTATTTAGGGTGATTTCTTCAACGTTTTTTAAATATTTTGTTTACATGATATTCCTTTACATAATTGTAAGTAATCTAAAATGTTACTTTCAAATATATGAAATTATATTTATAGTTTTTAGAATTATATTATCATCCTATAAAATTTAAAATATTTTTTCATAATTAATTTTTATTTCGAAAATGGATCAAATTGAGAAAACACTCCGTTGGAAAATACCATTTTGGGAAAGTAGTATAAAGTTTAACGTCTTTTTAACGCCATTTTAACGGCGGTTAGTCGGGAGGACTGAACTGAGCGTTATTCTCAATTATCGAATATGATTTCAGGAATTAGTTAGTTTTGAGGACTAATTTGGTAAAACACATAGTTATTGAGTATCATTCTGGGAATTTACTCTTACATAATAAAGCCATGACCCTAGTAGATTGCCTCCCTTATTCGTCGAGCATCAATCGATCTTCTTCGATTGCTTTGCACCTCTACTCTTCTATCTACTATATTCTCTGCCAGGTAAGTTTTATGGAGTACTTTCTTATTATTGATTTTTGAATTATTTGTTGAGCATCATCGTGTGCCTTATCATTTCTCCTATTCTTGTTGATTTTTATAGTATTTTGAATGGTTTACAGAGTCTTGACTTTATCCCCTTATTTGATCAGCATCCAGGCCACATAATTTTTTTTGCTCCATTTGTGTTTACCAATGTATATTTGTTAAATGTTTGCAATTTATTCTAACTTGTCATAAATTCAAGGTTTTTATATGTATTGTTATTTATTTGTCATTCAAACTTGAAAATTGCATGTATAAAAATTTTTTGTCTTGTTATTTTATTTAAATAGATTGCTTAAATTGTTATATCCACACTTTTGAACTTTAAATTTGAGGCTTACGCAATACGCCTCGACATTAAAATGCCTCGAAACTGCAATACACAATGCTTCTTATAGTCTTAAATCTTCTTATGACCGAGGATTTCTTGCACTGGTAGCTTTGCAGAAATGGTATGTGCCAGGCCACCATTTCCTTGCCCAAATTGATCACCATAATCTCAAGTATCTATTGGACCAGTTGTGATAACACGTCAACAACTTCTCATGAAGTTATTACCCATTTACCCTTTGATTTCACGATCATCTACAGAAAGGTGAAAAGATGACCTTGGGGCTTATGCTTTAACCCGGAGACAACAACGTGCTGAATTTTCTTGCCCTTCCTATTCTAGTTAATATGGATTTCATAAGCCTCCAAGAAGCATATCCTCAAGATCCACACCAAAATCATCAATGCACTCAATATATCCTAAGGAACACATTGGACATATTCCTGGCCAAATGTTGCATAATGGACTATTCTAAGGGATGAGATCCATAATTTCTTCGGCCACTTGATTTCTACCGTCATTCTACAGTTTTCCTATTGTATGTCTTTTTCTCCCTCCGTCCATTTTTTTATCTTTCTGCTTTGACGGGGCACGGAGTTTAAGAAAAGTTAAATATTGTGTTGACTTTTTCCTAAGATACCCCTGTACTATTTCCGACTCTCCCTTTCGTTCAATTGCCTTAGATCTGTTGCTTTGCTGCTGCTAAGGCACAAAAGTCTATATCGGCAGATTTGTAGATCTGCACAATCCACAGCAGGGCTGTGACATCGGCGACGCAAAAAAGCAGCAGCAGGGAAGGTGACGATCACGGGGCTGCGACATCAGCGGATTTAATTTGTAGATCTGCACAATCAACGACAGCAATGTCGGAGGATGAGTAGGTCAGAGCAATTGATGGCGGTGGAGGATGAGCAGATCTACGCAATCAAGACGGCGGATGAACATGCGACTGGCAACGGATGAACAAGCAACAGGC